GTTATAATCAAAACATAAACTAAATTTAACTCTATAATGTTATGATAAAGTTTGGTACACATGTTTGAGGTACTATTTCCCAATCTATTGGCAGCTCTCTATATTGACATCATATGTGATTATTAATTATGGCAGACTCAATCAGTAAACATATAGGATCTATGAGCTTGCCTTAAGAGCCCCTGGCTTGGAAAAATATAAACCAAAAGAAATCCTTAGCTGTTTTTCTGGACACTTTTGTATTAATTATTCCCGGCAACTTGAAATCTTAGTGACAACCCTAAATCCATTACCTTTGTGAGAGCTAATTTTACACTCAAACCATGCTAGTGTCCATTATGAGCAGGATCCACCGTATTCTTCTTTGATCCCAAAAATTATGGTGTTTTTCTTTAAATGACACAAAGATTGAAAAGCTGCCATGTTACAGTGACTTTCAGTATATAATCTATGAGCTTTATTAAGAGCTGGCTTGTGAAAAAAAATCCAACATCCAAAATAAACAAGAAAATCAACTGTCTACCTTGCTACGTACCAGTAATGTTTTATATAACTCTTTATTAGGTAAAAAAAAAACTAACATCCATAAACAAGAAATCAAGTACCAGTAATGTTCACACAAAGGATAAAAATGAGGAAAAAAAGAGTACAAATCAAAAGCATCCTTAAAAAGATATGCATTGAGCTAAGTATTAAATACGGTTTATAATGATTGCCTAATTTTCAGTGGTAGTTTGTTCCATATTTCGGTCCTCCTACAGAGTATACCCTATTGCCATACATTTTCAGATTGGCCACGGTCTCATCAAGCAACTGGCTGTATGAGGATCTTACTATGCAGCCAAAGTTCTTATATCTCAGTATAGGTTACATAGGCACAAACAGTAGTCTGGGCAGTGTCCTGGCGGATAAGGTAGTATCGCCTAATTTTAGCTGTAGTGCAAATACGAAAAAACATGCTAGCTTGAGAATGGATCACTGTTCATGAAAATTACTTGTATTATTTTACAATAAACTCACTATCTGTCTTCTCATTGGCAAAGAGCCCACAGTTAATTTTGGAAATAAGTACAGGCTACAAATCAAATTAGTTAGTTATCTGCTTGCAGATATACAATGTATGTAGGTTGTACATGCAATGCAAGATTCCAAGAGCAATGTCAAACTGTGTCCTGTGTGACGAGTGTTTATCACAATTATTTTTTTAAACAATGTATAATTATATTATAACAAAATCAATAACAATTTTATTATTACATCTGGGTTTTGTAATATGCAAAATACATATGTAATCAAGGTCTTGTCAAGTGTTATCACAGGTTATCAGTCAATGCCAGGCTACAGGATATCACAAAACTCCAATCTAATAATTGTTTATTATTACCATACCTCATGAGCGCTTCTCCTATGATTTCCCAGTGATTCTCAACAATGTCATCTGTCACCTCAGCACCATTTTCAATGAGGTAGTTAATGACAGATGTTTGAAGTCCTACACAAGCACCTTCAAGGGGACTTCCTGGTACTTGAGCTTCAGCGTCAGTTGTAGTCACCCTGTAAGGAAGGGGATTAATGTCTATTCCTTTCTTAATCAATAACCTTACTACCTGCACATGTCCAAGTCTACAGGCCTCATGTAGTAGTAATTGCCCGTGTGTCCGCAAGAGAAGTGGTTGTTCTGACAATAAAAGTTCAACAACATCATGTTTGCTGGATCTACAGGCCAATAAAATTGGTGAAAAGCGACCCAGTGCTGGGTCATGTACAAGTGCACCCCTGGATATCAAAAATCTGGCAATGGCTGCATGTCCATTCATGCAAGCCGCACATAAAGGGGTGAGATCATCGTAAGACGCAAGATTGACATCTGCTCCAAAATCCACAAGTTGACGCACAACATCCAGGTGTCCATTTTCACAAGCCAAATACAAAAAGTTTCTAGTAGTTGAATCGTTTGTCCCACTCTCTTCCCCACAAATGAGCTCATGTGCGATATCCTGGTTGTGGTAGATTGCTTGAAACAGTGTGTTAAGGTTACCTGTCCTGCAGGCTTCACACAACTGTTTGAAAACACCTGAATCACAAAAGAACAAATTAGAGAGCAATAAAGTCATGTAATTATTGTCTCTGAGCATAGATGCCTGTATTTGTCTTTACATACAAAGTTAGCCTCCTCAGCAGATAGTCCTTCCTTGTAGTCGTGATGAGCCATCCTGGCCTTACCTCCCACTCCCTTGGGGGAAGGGGTATTCCTGGAATATTTGAGTGCATGTGTGTAGCAGGCTTCTCACAACCCTTAATTTAATCACCCTAGTTCATGCCCAAAAAGTCATTTAGATCTTCATCCCTATATGGTTTACAAGAGCAGAAAACTTTACCCAATTTCAGAACTAAACAGTTATTTTTGTTAAAATAAGTTGTTGATTAAAATCTTATTTTCTTTTAATTTCGTGCAAGCTATTTCTTGATAATGAGTAAAAAATAAAGGAAAATAAAATTTGAACCGATGATTAAATTGAAACCACAACATTTACATGTACACAGTGAACATGTTGAGGTTCAATTTTACCTTGATTTAAATTCAGCATTGTGAAGTGACGTTTCTTGCAAATGTACGTTCAACTGGCATTTCAAAATACAAAGAGGGATGAAACATTCGTATGCTTACAAAAGCTTACATGCATTAACAAGTTGACATCTGATGAGTGGCTTATAATTTCAGTTTGTGAATGCAGTGTGCAGAACATCAATGTTTGCTATGAACGTTCTAGAAGACATCAAAAATGCTTAAAATTCACACGTAGATTAAAAATCAACGTTAAACTACCAATGTACAAGAAATTCACTTACTTATAATCTCGTCACATGCGTCTCCAACCGCCATGCATAAATTATCCCGATGATAATGAAGTATTAAGTCTAATGACAGAAAATTTTGACAGCCAGCCAAGTGCAAAAAGCGGTTACCAATTGACTTAGCATTCAGTTTCACCTAGTGATATGGTTCAGTAGCAAACTATGACACGTAAAAGATATACCAAACTGTACCTAAGACATCACACTTCCACGAAAACACGGAAGATCAGAGAAAGAATGTGAGAGGCATCATCCGATGACAGTTTGCTATTCTTAGAGCTTCAGCCTATATTCGACTGTGTCCTTACATGTCTCGTTTCGTGCATAATCAATATATATAAAAAATTACCTTTGTTCATTGCGTCGTCACTAGATCCATTCCGAGAACATTCCCTTTTCTGGAAAGTGATAACTGAAAGCAACGATATAAGCTGCCTTCGAGATCTTCGATCAAAACATAGGAAACTTCCAGGTAACAGAACGTGTGCAGCTGCCCGTTGCGTGACGCAGTATTTCCGTCATGCTCTGTAAGTTTTTCAACAGTCAGTTTTCCAAATTTGGAAATTATTGCCCATATATGGAAAAATTGAAAACCCCGTATGCTAACACACATTTAGCGGGAAATTTCACCATCCAACATGGCGTCGAAGCGGCCAACATCAAGCCTGAAAAGCCATTTTGAATCAAGCAAAAAAGCACGGTCTTCTGCTGGCGGCAGTACTGAAGGTCACGAAGAAAACAATGGTTTTGTGGATGGTGCTATAGTACGAGTGAAGATGCGAAATTTTGTGTAAGTTAAACGACTAGGGCGTAGCGCAGAGAGGACACGCGCTCACTGATCGCTCACCGACTGTTTCTCTGACAGGGAAATTTGTATTCATCAGTTATACATTTATGTTCTCCTTCCTAATCTGTACCATACTGTTACGTTACTTTCTATCACCTGAAATTTCAAGCAGAAAGCTACGCAGATGCCATTTATTTTTAAGGCTGCTAAGCTTAAGCCTATGTTATTGCATAGTTATTAGAGGAGACTGGTTATGAAAAGCGGCAAACATCAATGATAAAAACAACAGTGCTGCAGTTTATGTTCAAAGCACCGTGAAAGTGCACAATCTTTTGTTTTCTGTTGGCAAATTGTTACGGAATAAATTAATGCAACGTTTTTATTGGTTATTGATAAATTAACGTTGTGCAGCCACAAAAACATATAACAAAGGAGTCTGACGGGTTTCATAACCATTCCACTCAATTAACTATGGTTATTGTAATTAATGTAGCAAATTTGCGATAAGGATGAAGCAAGGCTTACCACAGGTAAATGTGGCTTTGCGCTTTCTTAGTTATAGTGAGATGATTTGTCACTCTAACTTGAAAATTTGTGGAAAAAATCCTTAATTTATTTGTAAATCCTTATATGTAACCTCTTGCAAAAAATCCCAAACAGGCCATTTTACAGTTATGGATGGAAACGAGGCTGAGGGTGACCTTGTTTTGATACAAACCTTCCTGCGTTATTGTGCAAGTCAAGTTATTCTTATGCTAACTAGTATTTTTCAAGAACAATTTCCATAACAAAGCAAAGAAGGTTTGTATGATAACAAAGTCACCCTCAGCCTCGCTTCCATCCGTAACTGTAAAATTGGCCTATTGCTACATTTTACGATGTCAGCTGGCGTATCTTTCTCCACGAAATGTTGCTTGAAATCCACATGTGCATTTCAGGTGATCAAAAGTAACACAACAGTATGCACAGGTTAGGTAGGAGAACGCACATGTGTGACTTACCAATGCAAATTTCCCTGTAAGAGCTTGAGAAACATTCAGTGAGTGATCAGTGTGGATGTGCCTTCTCTAATGTGCTTAAGTTGTAGTCTCTCATGCTTTTTTTCTACACTTTTTGGGGGCAAGAATGCAATCATGATAGAATTTATAAGAAGACATATAATAAAAAGAAGTAAAAGTAATATTAAACCCATCAACAATAGATGGGTGTGGGGAAGGTGCCTGAAGAAGCATAAGGGGCGATCTTTCAAGGTAACCATGACAACCCTGAGAGCGGCACCCACCAGGTACTGTCACACTGAGAACCACAGTGGAAAGAGGTGCAAATACTTACCAAAACAGCATCCAGAGAGGTGGGAGGGTTGGGGGCAAAAAACAACTATAACTTCTGCACGCAAAAGCAACATGAACAAAATGAAGCAGGATAAACCCCAATACCGCCCCACATACGATTAGTGGTGGAGAATGCTGGCCAGCATTGTCTCACCTTTAACCTCGCCTAAATTACATTTAGCCACATTTAATTTTTGTCACAAGAATAATTAAAAACAGTTGCTGTTCACTCAAAGGGCAAGTGCAAACAGGACCCTAGACCCATGCAAGGCACCGCCCTGTTGTTACTTACAATTACAATTTCAATTTCAATGCTGTTAAATTGCTCATTTACCCTTGAAAAAAATTTAATTCAAACCTTAGATGTACATCAAAAGTCAAAAAAAAGGTACAAGAGAGTGGAGGTGGTAGGCACAGTCACTTCAACCTGTGACAGGGACAGGTCATCACTAATGTCCACTTGCAAGATCTTTCCACCTCATTAGTACATGTATTAACCAGAGTGGTGAACATAGTTTTATAAACAAACTGCTTAAAAGATTGCATACTAGAGAAACTACTAGGGGACTTAAGTGAAGAAACAAAATTCCATAACTTAGTAATAGGATTAAAATAGGAAGCCTTTAATAAAAGTACTGGTTGTGCAAAGAGGAGTTTTAAGGTTGAAAGGATTGCTATCAATAAACCAACTGTCATTCTTAAATTTAGCAATTTGTGATAAGTATACATGTCAGCTTATTAAAGCTATTTTGATCATGAGTAGCATGATGTTGGTACCAGTCACTTGTGTGGTGTACTTGCATGCCCAGAGATATTTCCTACTGTATATGCAATTAGTAGGCGGGGAAATGAATCAAAGTAAAACGATGGGGAACCCATGGATAATTGTTTAGAAAATCCTCTTGCTCCCTCCCACATCTTTGACCTTGAAGCTTTTGCGCCACTGTATCTCAACCACGAGCGAAAAACATACCAAACAACTACCTGCTATGCAGGTTACTACTAGTAGAAGAGAACTGAATTGCTCGGGAAGCAACCGACTCTTGTGCTAAATTTTGTAATGAAAACTACTGATAAGGGTACAGGTTGTGCATTTCAATGCCTTGATAAATTTCCAAGATCAATATGATTACACTCTATAAGTGTATGTATGCGATTCATTTTAAGCAAAAAGATTAGCAGGAACTCTTCAAGATTTATCCTATGTTTGAGATACCGGTTGGAGTAAACAAGTGTTGGAATGCACGCGACACATTTAAAAATTAAGGCTCCTTACTTTTCCTGTTTAAATTCCTAATCAAAAATGAGTATTTAATTGCAGGATATAGAGGAAGTTAACACTTCTTACACAGGTTTATTCTTGAGTGCAACCTTGTGGGATTTACGCAATATTATTTGGAAAAAAATGCCGCATAAAATTTACGTTGCCGCGTCAAATGGGTCACAAAAAAAATGGACCCAAGGATAAGTACTTTTTTCAAAATAAAGTATTCGAAAACATGACTGGCAACAGCACTGATTTGATGGCCACTCTATAACCTTACTTTGAACTTTTATAGCCTCTTACTGTCTCAATTGCTTTTCTCTTCTTCATTTGAATCATTATTTTACTAGACAAACATCTGGGATGTGCAGTAATTTTAGCCCAGGCTTTTTCAGTTGCCCAGAATGTTCCAAAATTGCGGCAAAGCATCCAGCAAGTGTGACCCATGTAGAATGTCAAAAGTCTCAAAAAGCACTCAGTTTTTTTGGATTTGGAGCCCCCGTTCTTGGCCCCATTTCTTGAAAAAGGGTCCTCAAAAATTAAAGAAGGGGGCCCATTTGACCCTCATGATCAGTGGCCAATTTCTAGAATAAACCCTGCTCACATGTCGACACTATGAATGCAAATAATGTTTCAGGGGGAAAAAGTAAGAAACAGCAAAGATTCTCTCATGAGGATGCATGACTGAATCAGGGTGTTCAATAGGCATCAGAGGTCGGAGAATTCTCGGTTTGTTGCCCAGAATTCTCCAGCCAACGTTCGATAGCCTATGACTATATTTTATTCAGACATGGAGCCTGTTTCCAATTTATATTATCCAGTGACCTTACACCTGTCTCCTGCTATTGGAGTTTTAAATGAAAACCCTGCTGAATGCACAACTTAGGTGCCCCTCAGCAACAACTATGTCGTTTTCATATCGTCAGTGAATTTGGATCAGAGCTGAAGAGCCGATCTCTGTCGACGGAAAGTGAGCTAGTGACACATTTGGATATCAAAACCCATCACAAATACCCTTTGGAAACCCTTTGGGTATCCATGCTTTAAAAACTAGGATTTTTGTTCAGTTTTTGTTTTGATTGATTGATTGATTGATTCTATTTTGATTCCTTTTGTTTCCTATGAACATAGCCAAGGGTCATGCTCATAGTAGCTTGGAGAAATCCCCAGCCACTGGCCTTTAATGACACCCATGTTGCTGACAAAGAAAAAATATGAATCTGATGAAAAAAATGCGGGTCTCAAAGTCTCCGATTTGAAGACTTGTAGCTTGTCTTGTATTCTTGTTTACGAAGGTCAAGAATGAGAATTCATGAGGGAGGGCAAGCTTATTTTTGTGATGCCATGATCAACCATTTTTGGTGTCTGTGAATCGTGATGTACTGATTGTTATGCTTACACCTTACAGGACCTACGAAGACTGTGAGTTCAGGCCAGGACCTCATTTAAATGTTCTCTTAGGGCCAAATGGTATGAAGCTTATGTTCTATTCCAGTGTACATGCATAACTTTAAAACCTTCAAAAAAATTGCCGTGTATCTAGTACATTATACTCCTGACCTTTAGAGTTTGGGTCATTTTCCTCCAATGAAAAGGTTGTTATTTAAATCAACTATTGCTGATCTTTGTCTAACTTCAGCTGGCATTCAAAAGGCCATTGCGGTGCTTCAGTATTCAAACTGCTGCATGTGATTAAATGGTATCCATGGTTGGAGTTTATGGTTGTTATTTTTGTTTCATATTGCCTAAACAAGCTTTATCCTTTTGTCAATAGGTACTGGTAAATCTTCTATTGTGTGTGCAATGTGCCTTGGTCTTGCAGGCCATACTAAGCTGCTTGGTCGTGCTACTGAGGTATGTTGGTGAAATTAAATAATAATGTCAATGCAGTAATGCAGCAATCGTGGAAAGGAAAGAATAGAAACAAGTAAAGTGCTGTTACAGTACATATATTGCACCTTATTATTGTGTCCATGTATACTACATGTACTGTGGCCATTATAGTAAACTACAAGCAACATTAAATTTTGCTTGTAGTTTGCTGTTACATGTAGTATCATGAATGAATAATGACCTCTACTTTCTTTTTCTTCCATGTTTTTTTATTCCGTCTACATTTAGAAGTGGTGGAACTGGCCACTGATTTTTTTCCCCATCCACCTTTAATAGTGTTGTCTATTTCAAAATGTGATTGAGTGAGGTGTTTGATATGTGATAAATTACAAAAAAACTCACAAGTTTTTACTGACATTTTAATATTCACAATACTAGGTAAGGGATTTTATCAAGCATGGAGCAACACAAGCCATGACTGAAATTGAACTGTAAGTACACTCATGCAAGGCATGTTCTTTGCAAAGTACATGTATTGTGACTTAGAAAAAGTTACATGAAAACTTATTGCAATAAGCGTAATTCTTAAAAACCCTCTTTTCAATCGGACAATTTGCCGTAGTCGATCAGCCAATTCCTAGCGTGCCTATCCCCACCACCCCACCCCCGCCCCCCAGCATTTGTCAACTTGTCAGTTCCGGCAGTGGGTAATTTGTCAATTCTACTACAAGTAGTTGACATTGTTCCTTTTTCAATATTTCACTTAAAGTGTTCCTATTTAGAAAGCTATAAAAATTTCTGTAAAGAATATTTTTAATACATGTACATATGCTTTAAAAAGATACATGAGGTTTTTGCTTCATCATTACCCTACTGCACAGTATTTTTGGCATCCGTCGAAGAAATTGCTTACTGTCTTTGTCATCAGTTTGTACATGGAGGAAAAAAAATCAATGCATCGTTTAAGAGTTTAAAGGAAAGACGCTTTCTTTTTGAGCAAATGATTGAGGTAGAAAGGCCTAGAAAACCTCTGCGAGATATTTGAAAGCTAACATGAACTTCGTGTTTCGTGTGATCAATGCAATGATTAATATGTTGACAGTAACTAAAATCAGTTTCAAATCAGGGAACATTTTGTAGTTTTTCTTTCACGCTGATGTCAAAATGTACAAAAAATCTATGAAACCTTTATAAATTCAAAAATTTCTCTTTTAGAAACTTACTTTCCTTGACTATAGAGTACAGAAAACATGGGTGCCTTGGGTGGTCCAAAACAAGCCAAGTGCTCTGCCATGAAGAAAACAAGGTCAAATTCCTTTCCATTTGTGTCTTTTGTCGGTGCATTTTCATTTTTGAATTGCAAAATTTTGGTCTTGAAAACCACCGCATGGTAAGCACACACCAGCCATTTTGTTGAAAATGTACATTGTATGTCCTTCACTAATGTATCAAATCTATTTCTTCCCCCAACAAATATGTATGTTCACTAAACAGATTCTGATTGGTCAATTATTCCTAAAGCCTTTTGAAACAACAGCAACAAACTCTCTAGGGGAGGGGTGAATTCATATCTACAGGGTGTAGTTAGACTTACCCTAAAAGAATGTACGGACAGGTTCGATATGTTCCCATTTTTCCATTCAATGTAGCATTGTTGCTCTGCCACATGCATGAAGTCACGCGGGGGCTCTACTAAGAAAATGAAATTATACTTGTACATGTACATGAATTCCCCTCCTCTACCCCCAGACCCCTAGTCATTTGTATTATGCTTTTTTTACTGCTGCCTGGAGCTATGGAACACCTTGCTATATTCTCATCAGTCTTGTAACCATTGTACTGTCATTTGACTGCTAATACAGTGGTTACAGTTCTATGTACAAGAGATCATTTAATAGCGGGTTGCTCGTCCCATTTGCTATCCTACTTCAGAAAGTATCGCTGTACGGTGCAACTCATTTTTTTTGTGTGTGTGTTGTTTCCAGATATAATTCAACTGGTGGGAATTATGTGGTAACCCGAGACATGTACAGAAGTGAAAATAACTCCAAATGGAGAATCAATGGGAAAAATGCCACCATGAAGGAGGTACATTTTAGTGTATACAGTGTAGCTCTTTACAATCAAGAGTGATTTGTAAGCATTGTTTTATGTTTAGAGAAGTTCAGGATCTCTATTTGCAGCTGTTCACACGGTTTTGTCAGCAGGTTCAAAGTTCCAGGTGGATGCTACTTGTGTACATGTAGCTGAAGTCTGAGTTTGATTTCTTCATTGCAGGTGTTTGTTTTGTATTTAGTCTTTCTCCAAATTTACTTGTGCACTATACAATGTACAACTGTAGCTTGCATTTCTGTTTGGTTTGAAAACAGTTTGATTGTTTGTTATCTGTACTGAAACTGTCATTTTGACTTTGACTTTTTTTTATTTTAACTATTATTTTTTGCTATGCCAAGGTGCTTTTAAAACATGAACTATTGTTGTATTTTAAATAAAAGTTTCTAGTTCCTCAGACAAAATAATAACCACAACTAACCCCTTGTCTTGTACTTGTGCTATTATAATAAACAGGGTAAACAAAAGTAAAAGCAAGATAAAGTAGATAAAATTATTTCCGGTAATTGTTACCGCAGTCATTACAGCTGTGGTGCTTAAATTTACTACTGCTTTTTTCATTGTGTGTGTGTTGTCAAAATAGAATATATTTATAAATTTAATGTGTATAAAATGTTACGTTGTTTATCAGGTTCAAGAGTTGACCAAAAAACTGAATGTACAAATTGGTAACCTGTGTCAATTCCTACCCCAGGTATTATGCTGATGTGATTTAAGACTTGAGACAAAATAATAATTCATTAATGTTGATAGTTTTTTTCCTTGTCTATACACCATGGTACTCGTGAAGCAGATTGATTCTTATGTTGTGCTTTAGTTGCTTGTATAATTTCTGCCGTTGAAACAAACATATACTACTCATTAAAATCATCAGGACAAAGTAGCAGAATTTGCAAAGATGACTCAACAACAGCTGTTAGAGGCAACAGAGAAAGCAGTAAGTTGTCAGAATACCTACCACTATTATTCATACCTCTTATGAGCTGTGGAAATATAGAGAAAGCTGTAGGTGCCCTTCAAAGGATTGATAAAATAAAATTATATATTAATTGTACAATAATTTAAGCAAGAAAAAGTGCAGCAACTTTCACATGTTCCGTAGACAGGACTTGAAAACAATTTGAATTCCAGCTTGTCTTTTGGACAAGCAGTTCTCACATTGTGTTCACTTAGGCCCACTTCTTACTTGTCTTAAGTAATAATTTTGTTGGAGGATGACTTTCCTAGACCCTGGCCCATTGGACAAATAATCTTTAAAAGTTTCTTGCCCAGCAAAAAAATCTATTTGTACTGGACTACCAGACAGGATTTTTCCGAGCTCTGAGTAGAGTAGAAGCTTTTTTGACTGAATTAAAGGAAACAGAGGTTTGTTCCTACAAACCAGAAAATTGACCAACTACATGAATTGAACAGCAAATGACTTATATATAATTAGGCTTATAATCTATCTATTTTGGGCGCACTTGACCAATTTGTTGAGTCTGTTGAGTCTGTCCCATTCCTGTCTGTTATCCCTGACAAATGAAAGTTCTTGCCTCATAAGACTGGTATCGCTCTCTAGGTGCCCCTAATAAAGCACTATAATATTATTGATAAAAACAGAATGTACAATATTTTAAATTTTATTCAATTTCTTTTTCAAAAGTTAAAGCCAAGGCTTGCTTAACTCTCCTTTGTGTTCCAGGTTGGTCCACCAGAAATGTTTGACAATCACCAGAGGCTCATTGAACTGAGGAAGCAAGAGAAAGAACTTGAGGTCAGTTGATTCACACTAGAAAGGATGGCAGGGACTTGCTCTAGGTGTCCATCTTAAATAGATGTTTGGATGTTTTTAAATGGATGTTTTTTTACAGCTGTAAATGCTGCCTTTATAGCAGTTTGTTGTTTCCAAACTGAACAGCAATCAAAGTTCACTTCAGGCACGCATTCATTCAACATGCAACCTCACGAGAGAACCGGGGAAATGAGGTTGTCACATGGTTGTCACTCTAGGACACAGTCCAACTTAGATTACTGAAGCTGAACTGGCTATTTTTCAAATTGAATCATGGATATGCAAATCATGTTTTGACAGGTACATAGACAGTGGTGGATCCAGGGGAGAGGCCTTTCCAGGTATCACCACTTGATCGGCAAAGCCACCAGGCGCCCCCAGAATCTTCTATTTTTAGAAAAAGTGCTTGTAAACTGAGGGCCAAAGTTTATTTTTTTTTGGGACCGAATGCTCGCAATGACGGATCTGGCACTGGTAGAAATGTACATATATACACAGCAGTATGAATTTTTCTTGGGTATTATCATTTCAAGTTAAAGTAAGATTTTCTTTTTTCTCACATGAATTCTCTGTTTTCTAAACAATGTACCCATAATTACCCCATAGTTTTTACTCTGGTTGTTTACTTGTTTACTTGATAAAGAACAATAATTACTCACATGGGTATTCACTTCAGTGGAGGGGGCTAGTGGTGCCAATTTACTGAGCTGCAAAGGTCTTGCATTTTATTCTGTTCTATTGTTGACTTTTCGGGATCTTTTTAGGTTTCTCTTAGAAACAACAAAGAACATCTTGAAAAGCTTGAGCAACAGAATGAGCGTCTTGAGCAGGATGTTAAAAGGTATCAGGAAAGAGAACGCCACTTGCAGAAAGTTCAGATTCTGGAGAAGAAAAGACCTTGGGCAGTAAGTAGTTTGAGTCACAGCAAAAACACTTGTGTTAACATAGTGCATTGAATATGTATACAACATGTATGTATAATCTGTAGCAAATAATAATTCACTGGTACTATTATTGTGCTAGTTGTTGTGGGCAACAAGGGGAGCCCGCAATCCTAATCTCCAGGTTGTTATTATGCATGCGTTGCATGTATGTGGACAGCACTTGTTTGGACTTCCATTAAGAATGAATGGAATGCACAGAATGCAGTTTGATCATGCAGGTTTTGACCTTCTACACCTGGTAATATGATCACACGTGTTTTGACCATCTGTCACGAGAAACCTACACAAAGCACTCACTGTGTTTGTGTTAGAGCAAAAGCGTTTAACCTTAGATCATTGTCGCCTTCACTCCGTAACCTTTCGTTGTTACTAGTACATGTACAACTAACTGTTCTCATATTGTTTTGATGTTCTTGTACTAAAGGAATATGAGGCAGCACGTAAGCTGTTTGTGGAAATCAAAAAGAAAAAAGATGAAGTCAAGAAAAGCCTGGAGGAAGCCAGGAAACAAAATGGTCCAATGCAAAAACGTCTTGATGAGGTTATGCGGAAAGCCAGAGAGCTTGAAGAGTCTACCCGAGAGTTGGTGAGGAAACTAATTTTTTCTTATTATTTGACTTATCCCTCATAATTTTATTTGAGTTTATCTCCCCTTTACACTATTTGTCTTGTTGTGTTTTTATTATACTGTCTAATGTTTATTATGTGGCAAAAGTAACTACAATATCAATGAAGGGTTATCTAGTCAAGGCTCCAAACTTGAAATACATTATATGTACACGAACGTTTAGAGATTACTGTAAAATGTTGTAATATTGGTTTTTGTTTATTCCCAATGTAGATGCAGAAAGGTAATGAGGTGTTGAAAAAAGCAAAAGCAAAGAGTGAACAGATTGAGAAAAAAGGTGACAAGGTAAGTGTCAAGTCTGTAAATAACTCTCAATGTGTTATGTAGTTGTGATTGTTGCTAATTTTGACTTGCTACAACTTTATTTTAAAAAATAATGAATTTCAGTTAATCCAAAGTGTTTTGATTGACAGATAGAAGAGTTACAGGGAGAATTGAAAGATTTGAAGGAAGAAGAAAAGAAAAGACAAAAGAAGTAAAATTATATTCACTGTTACGGAAAACATTTTTTAATACTCTGTTAATGATTCCAGAATTTTTAGACAATATTTTAAAATTACAGCTCCTAAGTTTCTAAACACAGCCAAATTTTCCTGAAAATTCACCCTTACTATTCCAAAGCCAGTAATGAAGGTCTGAAATGTAATAATCTCCAGATGAAATCCTACAGCTGTATAGTACCTTTTGGTCATACCTTTAAAAGATGTGCCTTATAATTAGTAGTATTATTATTATAACCATTATCATTATTTTTCATTTTTATGATGCACCTGTACTTATAAGGGAGTTAAAGATAGCATGATTTTGCATTTTTCCAATAAATTGTCATCGCAATTTTCCATGTGATATGATTATTCCAACTTGCTCACTTTGTCAAACCTGGGCAAACCCTTCTGCGGTTGAATTCCAAAGAATCATATCCAGTGTCAGAAAAAGTTGGGAAAGAAAATTTTGTGATTTCTTGTTTACATTCTGGAGCCATCAAATGAGAAATAAGTCGTTTTCATATCCTAGTAAGTCATGCAGTGACAGCAAACAAATGTTGAGGGACTTGTTGGACTTGTCAAGAGACATCTTTGGTCTCTTACGTTGAAAGAATTTAAAATGCTTGAAAAGTCCCAGTGACTTGTTTGTAACACTATTTCAATGTTAAATTTCTTTTCTGTTAAGGAGAAATTTTCATATTTTTTTTCATACTTATTCCTTTTTGTAGGATAACTGACCTTGAGAGAACAATACAAGGATTTCAAAATGAGTTAGATAATCTCCCAGACCCATCTGAACTGCAGGTAATTAAAATACATGCACAGTAGTATTAGGTGGCAATTCCTTTTGACTTTAACTGTCCAAAGTTTCCTCATGATCAGTTTGCCTTTTAAAAATCAATATAATAATTACACGCTGTGATGCTTGATTAAGAGTTAATCTATCAATTGGTCAAATTATGAAAAAAAAAGAAATTATGTTGATATTTTCAACAATCTTCATTTTTCTTTAGTTTATGTTATTTGATTTTATTGCTATCACTGCTTCAATCTTCTTTAAAGTGGCCATGGCAGGGATTATTAAGAGCGTGAATTCAAAACAATTTTTGTTTTGTGCCCCCTTGTATTAACATACACCAGGACAAATTTTGGGGAACAGTTTACTGTAAAGCTTTTTTCTCTTCTCAGCCTCGCATTGATGAACTCAACACCCAAGCACGGCAAAAGAATCGTGAAGTGATGACTATTCAAAATCAAGCTCGTGGAATTAGAGAGGACTCTGATCGTTTGAAGGTACAAAGTCAAGGTGAGCTAAGGTTTGACTAACTTTCTTTGACAATGCAGGTACATTCCACAGGTAGCATTTCTTTAATTGGGCAGGCTCTGAGAATGAGAGAAACAAAATTCAACAGGTATTCTGTTTCATAAATCAGTACAATCATAGGTTGTATTTTATCAAAGATTTGGTGGTGTGTCCATTTTACTCTCTGGAACTGGTTCATCAGGTGCATTGTATTTGGCAAACCAGAACCGCAACACGGAGTTTTGCATAAAGGCATAGAAAAATGATTATCAGGCAGTTTTCAAGTTTGTTTGTTTTAAATGGCTGTAAGTATTAGAATTAAAACAATTCGAATATACCCAGATCTGAATCCAGATCTTCCAAAAGGATTTTATAGGGAAGTCCTCCAACCTGGTAACACTGTGCTAAAATTTCGTCACTGAAGAAGGGTGCAATGATAGGCGTAAAAGGGATTCTTACATGTATTAGTAAAGCAGTCCAGAATGATTGAAGCTGAGACAAACTACTGCAGGGGTTATTGCAGTGTTGCAGCTTATAATGCTTGCCATTTCAATTGAAAAAGTATTTGTCCACTACTTGTCCAGTTCTGATCAATCAGTGGGTTCAGATATTTACAAGACAATGCTTGTACCTCCTGAGTAAATATCACCTTTTTTAATTTCTATTTTTGTTATCTTTTTTCCCTTTTTATCCCAGATGTCAAAAGCAGAATCACTAAACTTGAAGATATGAAGAATCTTCGCTTAGAATTCTTGCGCAATAAATTCCGGGACACTTACAATGCAGTGATATGGCTCCGGGCAAATCAGCACCTGTTTAGTAGTCCTGTGCATGAACCCATCCTACTTCAGGTAAGGGATTGTACACTGTGTAGTCCTCACTTAGGGAATCTACTTGTAGCAGCCTTAATATGGCACTTTGTATGTCACATGGTCTAAAGTTGATCTTTAAAAATTTTCTTACAAAGACAATGCATGGCAGGGTTGCTAGAAAGTTTTGAAGTAGATGGTTGAGTTGTCAAATTAAGTGGCCAGACCAGGGTTATTTTAATTAAAAAACGCCCTCCGTAAAGAAATGCCAAGCAGAATAGCCGGCTGATACTAATCAAGTAGGCGGTGATTTTTGTCGGCAGCCGGCTACTTTTGACAACCCCGCAATGGTACTGTTGTTAATGGCAAAGCCTTAAGTTTAATAATAATATAGAGTATGTGCCCGGCGGCCATATTGGAGGAGTAAAACAATAAAACTATTTTCCTTTGGGAAAAAGTTTCATTCTCATGCAAAAATATTTTTATTGTTTACTCCTCCAACATGGCCGCCGTGCACAGACCCTATTACAACAAAAAAATAATCATAAACACATTGACTAATCTCTTGGACTTACAGCTTACTGTACTTGAAAGGTGCTATACTACATGTAGAACACCCTCTTTGGCTTCTAATTTGTCATTTTTCAGGTTGAAATGAAGAATGTAAGAGATGCCAAATATATAGAAAGCCTGATCAGTCAGAATGACCTGAGAGCCTTTGTTTGTAGTAACAGGGAAGATTTGAAGCTCTTTTTAAATGAGGTTTGTCACTGTTACTTTTCAAGCTTCAACATGTAGATTTTTTGACTAATAATCACAGCAGCTGTTTGAACTTCCCGTCAAAACCTATAGATTTATACTAGTTGCTTATTCACTTATTGCCAATTTAAATATAACAAATTAATGACATTGGAAAAAATCATTTAATATTTATTGTTACATTTAGCAAAATAATTTTGTAGGTTTATTGCTTTTTTTAATTACATAGTCTTCAGGGTAAGAGTCTTGGAATCATGGTCAAGTGAGAGGAGAGGTTTTGGTTTAGTTCCCAACCCCTTTGAAATTCACGTTAGCTTTACCCTTTCCTTTTGCTTGTACCCCCTGCCCCCACCCCCTCCTCCCATTCCCCCTCAAGTTGTTGAAGTTATTGTGTAAATTTAATATCGCACATTATATCTTCTTGGAAATAGGTGCGTGATAAGCAAGGATTAAGAGTGAATGGCGTGGCACCACCAGATGAACCTTTGGAAAGCTTTAAACCATCACGATCATTGAAAGAGATAGGGTCTGTTTTCCATGTAAATTTTAGGTCAAGGTGGCTCCCTAGAGTATTTACTAATAACCCTTAGCTATCTAGCATACGTTACAGAACGAAATCTAGTTACTTTGTCTTTGCGATTTTGTTCACCAGATTCACCGCTAAGGTTACCCATATAAGAAGGCTCCTTTATCAAGTTTCGTTTTCTGGATTAAGGCCGTTGCCATGGCAACATCGCATCCTTAGACAGGCAGTAATTTTGTCATTTTTGATCATTTTTTCTTAATATTTCTTATTTCCCTCGGTGAAATGTCTTTAAACTTTGCCACTTTATATTAACGATATTGCTTAACATTTTATAGTGGAAAAAACATGGGGTCGTTAAGACGGTTTTGCCAATATTTTGAAATTTGTAATTTTTCTTAATGGAGGAATTTAGCTCTTACAGATTTTAATAGGACAGTACAAAGGTACTGCAACTGTTAAGAAATGAGGCGATTTTTAAAAAATTTTACCGAAGGAAACGCGAGAAATTCACAGTTAATTAACTACGTTGACGTCACAAAAATCTGAAAAACATGCGTGGTTTGGGGTTGTATGAGCAAAATACGCGCGTGAGCCATCACGCCCGCATGCGCCTTATACACAAAGCTACTGAAAACATGTGGTGTCTTTGAAGAGAACGAAAGCCATTGTTTTGAAGCCGTTTATTAGTATTGTTACGGTGATATCTTGCCAGTTGAAAAAGGAGAGATAGTGGATTCAATTTTATACCCAACACAGGATGTTTTCTTCGAAGTACTTGACTTTTGTAGCTAAAATTCGAACCGTGGTGGTCACTCATGAGGATGGCGATCGTCGGCGATGAAGACGGTGGTTGTGCAAGGATCGCAATAAGCCCTTCATTTCCTAATCTGCTGTACACTGTACAGATCTTCAATTGTCAGCCCTCTTCCGGATACTTTTTCAACCTTGTTCTTCTTTAGGGATAATTTCGACGGCAAAGTTTTTCTGTAAAAGTCTGGTGTAAAAGATGGCGCTGATCTTTAAATCGTACATCATGTCCTCAGCTACATGTACAAGGGTCAACATCGTCAAGGGTCAATCTGTGAGTAAAAATTATTTCTCATTGTGCAAGAACATTGTCCATTTACTTCGACTATTTAACATTTGTCTACTATTGAAGCGAAAGAATTGATGTCTTTGGAAAATTTCTGCTTTGTTTTTACATACAATTTACTCTTTTGGAGATCGATAGTGACTTGTAACCGGTGTAACATTGTCTCCTCTCATAAATGTTTGACCTACACTAATCAAACGCTTTGCACAATGAGCTTCAATAGAAAGTTAATAAAGCTTTTTGGGGGAATATTGCAAAACTGAGAGGCCATGTTTGTTTTAATTTTTGCGTGGACGTCACGCAGATTTTAAAGCTCGCGCCATACTAGTGCTTAGGCTGCGCATGGCCAATTTACTCTAGGGAGCCACCTTAAGCCAGGTTCCAACAGACTTTTCATGAGCTGTACCTAAAACTAACTTAAGTACTTGAAAAGTTTGGGGTCTGAATCAATCAAGATCCGCAGTTTCAATTTGGAAAAGCTCAGCCTTTCTTCCCGCCTGACCTGGCCGGGAAGTTTGACTTTGGAGCGACTTGATTTGAATGCTGAACTTTTCATGTGCTGAACCTGGTGCATAAATTATCATAACTTATTTTGCAAGCAGTTTGAAAGAAATACAGTGTAAGCAGTTTTTTCATTTTGAATTAAGTTTGGCTGGAATTAAGATCGGTGTCTAAATTCAGCCGGTCATAATAATTTGGGTCGATCTTAATTCAAATTACGTTTAGCTCATAAAAAATTTGTCACCTGAGCCCAGCATTAAAACTCTCATTTTTTATTGTTTGATTGTGCTCAGATGATGTTTTGCAAACTGGAAAATAAATCATTGTTCTCTTTAGTGTTTACACAACAATTATTGTTGTGTAAACACTAAAGAGAACAACGAAATAAAATAATAATTATTTATTTATTAAACAGTTACTGTTAGCTGAAAAATATTAACAGAAATGTGCACTGAAAAAACAACTTTCTTTTGTAAAATAGTAGGAACAACAATAATGATGATGATAATAGTAGTACTAATAATATTAGTATTTATAAAATAATTATTGTAATAATATTAGTAGTAATTAAATATTTTTGTAAAAATACTGTCCTTTTGTCATGCAATGAGTACAGCTACTATAACTGTTAACTAACTCAAAAGTAATACTGATTATATTCCTCTGCAGACGTTGGGGTTTCCATGGCTACATGAAGGACTTGTTTACTGCTCATGATGATGTGATGAGGTATCTGTGCCAGAATAACAATATTCATGACATTCCTCTTGGAAATGATTGGACAGAAAAGAATGCAGATAAGGTGAGACGATGGGTGAAGAACATGCTTTGATGGAACATTTTAAGATACCACCACTTGTAGGTAGTTTGAGAAAGTAAAGGCCTTTAAATTGCTGTAGTAGTCCTTTGATTCAGAAAGTACTTTTGAACATTTTGATTTTGGGGTTAAATAACTTCTTCCCCACACCCCCCTCCCACCAGTCACGGTTGCATACCCTTGGCCCCTTACCATGTACTTGAATTCTCCTTTGCGAGCAGAGGCGAATGGATCATGTGAGGGTACCCAAAAACAGTTACATTTTGGAATATCCCTGAAATTTAGTTAGCGGCAAAATGCAAGACCCGTTTCATTAAAAAATCAGCCAGTCAAAAAGTGATATACCATCCTGTCGATGTAAGAATTGGCGGGGGGGGTCTGCACACAGGCTAGAATTTCAGTCTCAACAAGCCTAAGCTTTCATTGGACCCCCCTCCCCCCTGGATCCGCCACTATTAAGCAGTCATCAAAAAAGCTTACGCTGACTGAGAAAAGATTTCTTGTCACAAAAAAGGATACAGTTACTAATTCAGGAGAAATGCAGAGAAACTGCATGTGCATAAAAATAAATTAAAGATAAAAAAATGATGTTTGGATGTAGAGGTAAATGACTACACATCGAGCTTAATATTTTTTAAAGTACTGAGCTTAATGATAGAGAGCTTTAGATTTGAGGACAAGAGTGAGTACGAGTACGATATTTATTTAACGTTTTTTGCATGTTCTATAACAAAGACACCCAGGAAAGCTTCATTTTACTTTTTTTCAACACAAAAGTTAGTATGGTTATTTTTACTGAAGGAGGTCTATCCCTCTCCCAATGGCAAAAATTAATGATAAAACTTCTCACATTTGATAACTTGTTCCCGCCACTATGACATTCTCGCTAAAAAAAGCTGTTGTTGAATGACAACGGCTATCACGTTTCCTTGCCAAAATGATGCAGGCTCATGCATGTGCGCTACTTAGTATTGAGAAAATCTTGTACTCGTAGTCGTCCTTGTCCTCAAATCTAAAGCTCTCTTACTGTTGGTGAGTAATAGTAGAATTTTTCTATGTATTTTCTTTCTTTTTTTCAAATTTTCTCTATGTATTCCAAGGTGCTTGTTATTTATGCACCATTGCCAGTTTCAAAGCAATAGCAAGCTAACAGTACTTTCTACATGATGACCCAGAAATACCTACACATACACTTTCCTTGAGCTTTAATGATGCTTTACGTTAACGTACATGTATTATTGTATGTCCTTGGTAATTAAATTGCAACTCCAAATCATGTTACTGACATCAATCACTGCATCATATAATATCACCATAAAACAATGACATTGTTTATTCCTCTCATTTGCCTGTTGCCTTATGATCTCCTTGTCCATGTAATTATCACTACTTGCTGATCAATGATAAATGTTTCATGTTTAAGGTGATAGAGGAAACCAACATTAGGACATTCTACACTCCATCCTCAAAGGTACCACAAGTCATGGCTTTTTTTTTGTTCTTTTGGGTCTCTCCATCCCTTCAATAGACAAGTTAACAAGCCCTGAGAAAGTTGTCATGTTGCAATGTGTTATTCCAGAAATTTCTCACTACTGCAGTAGGCAATATGACTGAATTCGTGGATATGCCAGTTCTCCCAGGTCGATGTTTCCAATCATACTATGTAAAGCAGAATGATTGCTTTCCCAAAATTCACGGGGTTTTGAAAGTTACAACCTGGAGAAGCAATGAATATCATGCTCCCCCTTTTTCCCAAATCATCTACTACTTTCCCTTTCTAAAAGACATACCAGTGTTCCATACGTCCTGACTTACATAATAATATTGCCACCATCTTCCATCTTTGATTGCAGTATAAACACATATATATTTTTTCCTTTTTCTTCACTTTTTTTTTTTGTTTAATGGTTCGCTGGTTTTGGATCAATTCCCGTGAATTAATTTTTTTTCGTCAAAAAGATAATACAGTGGAACCCTGTTAATACAGTCACCAATGGGCAAAAAAAAAATTGGCAGTATTAGCAGGGTGGCCATATTTACGACAATTTTTTTTTACAAGAAAATGTATGGCTGTAATAACGAGGTGACTGTATTACTGAGGTTGCCGTAAGGCATGGTTTCACTGTTTAAGGTAAAGAAAGACAGTATTAATTTACGTTATCTCAGAAAGGTTCAACTATATACAATCGGCGACAAAATTGTTGAGACATTGTACTCAAATAGGGTAACTTCTGAAACATAAGAATCCACACCCCTCCCCTGTCCCCTCCTTTCAAAGTTGGGATGTTTCTTGTTTTCTAAAGGTAGCTCAAACAGTGGAACAACATTGCATGGAGGGGATGGGGGAGGAAACGCTACCTTTTCCCCTTTTGAAGTCCAGAAAACGTGAAAAAGTCCATTTAGGGCGAAGTGTCTCAACTCATTTTGTCGCCGATTGTAGTTGTGTAACAATTATACACAGCTATATGTGGAAATTACATCCATGATATCTACAATGTACCATTACCATACTGACAATAAATCTTTTTTCTCTTTTCTAATAGTACAATGTAAAGAGATCATTATATGGGAACAGGGAAAGGTCAACAATGGTTGATCACATTAGGTATGTGACTAGTTCTTAAAAGAGTAGGCTGTGATTCCATAAAACTTACAGTCTTTCCTATTTTACAGTAACAAATATTATTAATATTTAAAAACACAATTCAGTCTTGAAGTGGTAAAGGTCAATTGTGTGGTTGTAGAAATCAAGAGTGAACCTTCTCTTTGTTTGTAAAATTCTAGGAGTCAAAGAACTGGTACATGTAAGAGACTGACTTGTTTTTGTTTGTTTGTGTTTTTTTCTGTATGCATTATCATGTAGAACATATCAGCCAATTAGAATGCAGGATTTGCAGTAGTAAACCAGTATAATGTAGCAATTGCTATGAGTACTGGTTCTGATAAGCTATTAAGAGCTATCAAAACCATACTAAACATTACAACACATTAATCTTACTGACCAGACTTTTCTTTTAGGGATGCCAGGCTGTTTAACATTGCTGTTGATACAGAGAAGAAAAAACAACTTGAAATGGAACAACAGGTATTTCCTGTGTTTTTACACAACAGAATCATCTGATTGTTTTTGTTTTGTTGTTTTGTTATTGTTGTTTGATAGAATGGCAGGAGAAGTGCTTTACCAATAAAAGTAATTCTCTTTGTTGTGAGCCTTTCCAAGCCCTTTGTTTCACTTACTTTTTTTATCTTTATAAGTGGTATTTGTTTCTTCCATAGGACATCAATCAACAAATGCAGCAGAAAAATGAAGAATACAAAACTCTGAGTGAGAGGGAAAGGATCTTGCAGAAGGAACAAGAGGCTCTGAGGAATGAAAAGGTTGGTCAATAAGTATTAGTTTGAGTGTTCTTCACTCTAAAGACCAACATTACACCCTTTCCATAAAGTACAAGCTGCAATCATTTTGCATCGGTCGCCATGGAAAGTAGAGAAAAGAACTTGGGAGTAAAATTGCATCAAAAGTTGCCAGTTTGGTGCCCTGTGTAAAGCAGTCATGTGCCAATGTGCATTTGTATAATGTATTAATTAGTTAGTGTTTATGGTTGTCCTGATACTTAATAATGTGTAAAAATTAGGGCTGTATGATACAACAGTCTACAGAAGTGCTCCTTGTAATGACTACTGTAGCTATATAAACAAAACTTCAGCTTTTCCTCCTATCCAGTATACAATAATTTGCAGAAACCACGTACATGTACATGTAGTTGTTGAAAATTAAGAAAGAAAAAGGTTATGCATTCAACACAATGTGACTCAGCAACCTTCTGCGAAGTAGCTCTCACTTAACTTGTGCTTTCATTAGAAAGAACTTCAATCAAAGACACAAAGAAGAAGAACACTTGAGAACCAGTTGGAGACCAAACAAAAGACCTTAGAGGCAGTACAGAAATCTTCTCCAGACCTAGAGGGGCAATCAGCAAGAATACAGCAGCAGATTGTCAAAATAAACCAGCAGAGGGCACAAATTGCTGTTGAATACAAGGATGCAGTGCGTGTAAGTTTGACACTGTGTCTCCTTTGTGTTCTAGCAACAAGAAAAACAACCTTATCCAGGGCTTCTGGAATTATGCGGTTTTTTTAGCAAATTATGCGCTCTTTTTTGGTGAATTATGCGCCAAAAATCCCCGAATTATGCGGGAATTAGGCAAATTGTGCAATATGGCACAATACTATGGTCTTACCCCTTTAAGACACTAGAACAAGACTTAAAATAATAGCAAAAAAATTGGAATGCATTACTTCCAGCTTATTTTTTATTTAAAAATGCTGTCTTTCAAACCAATGGATCCTTACTGTTTCCAGAAAAAAAAATAGTGTAATAGACTTCCTAAACAACCAAACAATAAAATAATTATTGTTTTACTTATGTCAGGAATGCACTAGAGTTGCTAAGGAAAGGATTACACAGAGCCTTCAACAAGTGCAAACAACTATCGAGAGATCAAAAGTAGAAGAGATGTTTCGCGAATCATCACAGCAGCTAAAAGCTCTAGAGGTATGTGAAGATGTAAATGCATATGAGTTTATAATGCCATTTCCAGCATTTCTCTATTATTTTTTACTGGACAGACTTTTCTTTGAACAGACATCCCAAAGGTCATTTTTGCACTGGTGGGTTGGTATAACCAATCATTTGGGCTTATAATTATATGCTTTGGGAAACTGGTTTTCACCCTGTGAGCAGGGTCCACTTCTTTACTGAGTTGCGAAAAGGAGGCTATGCCTGAATTGCATCAAACCTCTGAGTCAACATAACCCAAACTTTTGGACTACAGTCAATTTTCTTTTCTCTCATTAATCTGTTTTTTCCAGTGCAAGCATCCATTCATTGATGAAATTGACAGTCCCATCTTAGCGCACAATACCAAACACATGCCTGTTAGGCCTGGGCTTGAAAACATATGGCACGTGCTGAACAAAGATTCATACTCACTTAACTGATTCATCCAGAGTCTTTCTTAATTATGCCAAGATCAAGCAAACAAAAGAAAGGCTTTACCGTCAAGCTGTCTGGTTCTTACAACAAATTAGTCAGTTTTGTTTTTGTTTTTGAAAAAAATAATGCTGCTGAATCCAACATCACATTTCCCTGACATCAGCTTACAGAAAGGATTATTCATAAACAATAAGCTATAGATGGTATTACTATGGCAAAAAGACTGGTCAAATTGCAGTCTGTCAACTTTTGTCTTGAGGACACCTCGCTTTAACTGACTCATATTATACACAGTTAAGGCAAGGTACATTAATGTGGTTTTTAAGTTATATTTTTTAGCCTGGCTGTTACAGTTTGACTGCTTGAAATATCTCAGTAATGTTATAACTTTATTGTGTTATGATCAATCACAGCAAAGATCAGGACAAGCGAACTGGCCACAAAACCAAAAACTAATTAAAATTCTTGCTTGCGGTTTAGTTTTCTCATGCCTGATTGGCTTTTCTCTTGCAAGGCATTAGCATTCCAGAAATATTTCTGGTGTTCACAGTTGTCCCTGTTTGACTGTAAGATAGTGGTATTAATTTTAATGGTCACTGAGTCATGCTTTTAATGTTTGATAAGCATTATTATTCTTTTAGGCAGATTATCTGAGTATATGCAACACATCTGAAACACAAAAGAAGCATGCTAAAGATTTGCAAAAGGTTGCCCATGAGAAAACTGGAATTCCTGTTGGTTCAGACATACCTGATGAACTTAAAGAGGTTTGTTTGACTGATCCATCATTCTTGATCCATCTAATCAGGGTCCGAAATTGCGCCTTCCTGGGCGCCAATGCGACTAAAAATTTAGTCCTGGCGACCAGAATTTCATAGCTGGTCGCCAGCTAGCGACTTGTAAAGCAGGTTGTTACTGTGGACTTTAACGTTCGGAGAAACTGATTAAGAATTGAAACCTCAAAGCTATTTGCCAACAGGAGTCTTACTTTTTGTCCTGCTGATATTTTTTAATTAAAAGTGAAACGAATCTTCCTGTAATAATACCTCCACAACAGCTACGATCAATACGAGTTGTACGTTTCCAAGCCGTCATGTTGTTTTCAGCTGAAATACAGTAAGTGCATTATGTACTTTGGGGACTGGTACGAGTGATGTGGCACAGTTGTAGCCTGGTACGAGCAACATGGCGGCTTGACTCGTGTTTACATAGCCTGCAGTGCAGGCGTATTTTGGGTGGGCGAAACCTTGTTCATGTTCGTAATATTGTTGTAACCGCCATCTTTGATTTTATGACAGTGGAAGATTGGGGAGAGTAGAAATAGTAACCTTTACGGTAGGTGGAAGTTTCAACATGGCACTTTCGCGAGCAAATTTGGCGCTCAAAGAAAACGCCTGCACTGCAGGCTAGTGTTTACGTTTCGTGGTAGTTATCGGAAAAAAATAGAGTTTTGATATGATCAGTGCAGTCATGGGCAGACAGCTTTCTGTTCCTACGTTCTAAGTCAGACAGCTTTATATCTCCAAAAAGTAATTTGTGGAAAAAAAAAAGACTTCACTCGTACACGTACGGTTGTTTTCTGGTATCGGAAGTAGTGCAATTTTCGAGCATAAAAACGTCCATACCATGCATTTTTTATTCGTGTTTAAACTATTATTGAAAAAAAAGGGGGGGAATTTTTGGCGACCACAATTTGCCCTCTGGCGACCAAAAATTTATACTTGATCGCCAGTTGGCGCCCGTATTAAAAAGTTAATTTCAGACCCTGTACTAATAACTCCTCGTTCCTGGACAAGATCCATTGGACCCCCAAAATAAAATGTTTTATCAATAGAAAGAATAAAAAAAAATGTACAGGTTTATCCATGGAAAATTATTGCGTATTCTTTAAATGCTGGAAGGTTGTGCAAGCTTTTGTTTGCTTCATGTAAGACATGAGTGGTTTTTATGGCAAAATGGAACTAATTTTGGGCACTATAATAATTGATATTGCAGTGCAAGTTGCCAATTTGGTAGTCTTTGTTGGTAGTTGTTCCAAAGTTGCAGTGTTGTGATTGGTTCATATCTGTGGTCTTTCTAAATTTGAAGGGAGATCATAAATCCTTTGCATAAATGATCCATTTTTGTTATAATAACCTCTCTCTCTTTGGCAGTTCTGGTATTAAGCCTTGAGATGTTGCCAGTGCCTCTAGATTTGATTGCAATAGTTGCTAGTTGTGCAGTCTGTTTTTTAACCCATGTAATATGGCACAAATTTCTCTTTGTTTATGTTTTTTATTTTTCTTCTTGCTGACCATTTTGTACTGTAAGGCAAAAGGCAACTCAACTTTGATCAAGTTAAGCTCAGAGTACTGAACTCTTTATACATGTATGAGCAAAATCACTATAATCTAAACAATTTGGCTATAATGTAGAGGAACAAGGAGAAAGTAATTTCTTGAAATGGGCTTTCTAGTAATGTCTTAAACTAAGTGCATTTTTACCTAGGCCTTCCGGCAATACCCTGACACACTGGATGAAATTGATATGATGATTCATGATGAGAAGGCCAGGATTGAGTGCCAGTATCAGAGTAATCCACAGGTATGGTTGTAGTTAAGTTATTTGTTTATCGTATCCAAAGCTACTGTAACTATCTTGGTAGTGTCTTGGTGTTGCAGGTGGGTGCAACCACCAAATGATAGACTTTGTACAAAAGATAAAAAAAAAAAACACTGAATAATACTCACACCCAGGGATCTCACTAAGATTTCAAGTTGTCGGGTAAATTCAAATAGGCAGGGAATCAAACAGCTAGGGGTTTCTTTTGGTTTTATTTTTCTTCTGTTTTCGTATAAAAGTGGCAGGGGGTCACGTTCGTAGTAGCCAGGGGAAATCCCCTGCCCACACCATAACACACATTTCATGTATAGATTAAAATAATCTTTGACTTGCCAGGAAGGCAAAGATGATGTGCAGGGGAAAGTGATCACACCTTATTACAAGGGTACCAAAAAGACATTTATCATTGCTATGTTTTTTAATAGGTTATTAAAGAGTATGAAAGACGCAAAAAAGATATCAGTGACCTTAGTACAAAGGTATGGTGCTCTTGAAATGTTATAGGCTGCTGTTTGCTTTCATTCTTTGGAATGGCCTCTGATGTAGGGGAGAGGATTGGGCTTGAATGACTGGTTGCAAGAATAATAAATTGTAATCAAGGCTCATGGATTGATCCAAAAGCTCTAATAATCATCATCATCATCATCATCATAATCATCCTAGGAATTGCGCACTTACTGAGAAGGTTGCTGTCCATCAATTAAAAATTCCCCTGGTACCTCAGGACCAAGGATTGGCTCCAGTTCTAGGAGAGTGTAGGAAGCAATAATTAATAGCACTGAAAATGTTTATAATAATAATAATAACAATATGATTTGGGGGGTAGCACATCCATAAAGTAGTTTCTCGTCTACCTGATTCCTGGTCGAATTGGAATTTGGAAATGTTGGTTTGTGAGAAAAACTGGAGTACCCAGAGAAAACCTCTTGGAGCAAATGAGACAACCAACAACAAACTCAACCCACATATGGCATCGATGCCAGGATTTGAACCCGGGCTACATTGGTGGGAGGTGAGCGCTCTTGCCACTACACCATCCCTTGCTCCTTCAAATTCATTATCTATGAAAGTTATCTTACAGAGAATCAAAAGTGTTTAACAAATGTCATTTTATAAATTTGAAAATAATTTTATGTGAACTTTTTTTCTGCTCCTGCATCCTTCATTCATGCCATTGACCAGAGAGGATCTTTAATTCCTGATATGATTTCCTTACATTTTTGTGTTTGTAAGTGAAGATACTGGTTTGTTTATTTGGTTAATTAGGTCAGTGACCAGGGGAAGGATTTGGAGAGTGAGCAGACAGAGATAGCAAGTCTCAAAGAAAGGTAAATAATATTAGTATTTGACAATGCAAGTATTAACACAAACTACAACTTCTGTGTGTATATTATGTAATAATTACGCAATAACATAGCAGGTTCTTTCCTTCAGCTTCCTACTTTTTTTCCTAAATTTCTTCGTAATTTTTCTTCCTAAATTTCAGGTGGTTAGGACCTCTACAAAAATTGGTTTCGGAAATTAATGTTAAGTACGGCGAGTTCTTTAGAATGATGGGCTGTGCAGGGGAAGTGGCTCTTTCTGCTGAACAGGTTTGATTTAATGTCAGTTAATAATTTGTGCTTTTGGGAACAAAATGTTAGTGGAAGAGTAAAACTTTGAACTTATGGTCAGCTTATCAGGAGTTAAACCCAGAGGCCCTGTAGCTTAAAGGCCTGGGTTGCTTTCAAGATACCTACTTGTTTATGATAAGACTTCAAAACAAAAAATCCTTAGGATAAATTCAAAAACCAATTTGCCTTTTTTGCAGGGAGAAAACAATTTTGACAAGTATGGTATTCAGATTAAAGTGAAATTCCGTTCTAAAGACAGCCTCCATGTGCTGACACCATTCCATCAGAGTGGTGGAGAACGAAGTGTTTCAACTATGCTGTACTTGATGGCTCTACAAGAACTCACTAAATGTCCATTTAGAGTAGTGGACGAGATTAACCAGGTGGGTCCTTTACATTACATTAATTTTTACTTTAAGAGGCTGTGTCACAGCTGTCTCGTTCATTTTCAGGGGCACCCAATGATGGTTTCATTCTAAATGCATTGAATACACTTTTTAGGCTATCCAGAGAACTCTTAGATCTCTAGAAATGCATTTTAAGGGGCGCTATAAAATTTGTATCTGTTCGGTTCTCCTAGGGCAACTCGAGTCTTTTCGAAATTACAAGGGCGTCAGTATTATTTTCCTAAAAATTGTAGATGCAATCTAAAGCCTTATGAAAGTAAGAATTTTTCTGGTTCCTTTCTCCATCACATTTTTGAATCGCAAAAATTTTAGTGTCCCTTTTCTAAAAAGCTTAATGTTGGGAGTGAAATGTGAAAGATTAAACTTCAGAAAATCATAGGGAATTTAGTGAATAGACTTCGAAAATTGTACATGAATGTAACTGTCATCTAGACAGTTGTAGCTTTGCCTCCAGCTATGGAAAATTTTAGCCAATTTTTGCTCCTCCGAGCCCTTGCCCCTGCATTTTGCTAATAATTATTATTGCCAATTACGCTTCCTTATTGATTATGGAACTGAATGTTAATGAAGAACTTACTTGTAAACAACAAAATCACAGCTTCTTAAAAAAATATATACCCCAAGTATTATTTTAAGCATTACAAACAATTTTAATCTGGTTCAGTCTTCTTCACGTTTGTCCATCCATGCCTCCTCTTGTATTTACGGTGGTATTAATACCTCCTTTTAATGTTTGGAGCGATTATTTTTATGTTTCACTCAATTTTGTGGCAGGTCCTACTGTTAGAATTTTGATAGAGTTACTGACACAGCTCCCACAAACTCAATTCAGTCAGACTCAATTTCTCTCTCCATTTGTTGAGTGGTTTTGAGAGACTGTTGAAACCCTTTGTCAAATGGTTACAGCATCCCCCCAACAAACACCTGGTACAGAAAATGATGTTTGTTTACAGTGGGAGGAGGCATTATTTTAGTAGAAGCATGCCCTTTTGCATGTCTAAGAAAGCTACATAATGGTAATATTGAAACCCTTTGAAATGCCATTATGTAAGACAATCAGCAAAAGTTTTTTTCATCAATCAATAATTTATCATTGAGAACCATTCTAATGTGTTGGATTTTTCAGGGTATGGATCCCAATAATGAGAGGAGAGTATTTGAACTTGTAGTGAAGACAGCTTGCAAGGAGAACACCTCACAATATTTCCTCATAACACCAAAGGTAAGACTTTATCTGCCACCTTTTTCTGAGTCAAAGGCATGAGACTTCCTTCTGTGTCCTTCTTGTCATGACTGGGATTTCACAAAACATCCCAGCATGCAGCTTCTGAAGATCTTTGACAATTTTTCAAAGACTTCTGAACATTACCGGAAATGTCCGAAGGTGTTCCCGACGACCTTTGAGCACTTCCAAAGCTGTTTAAAAGGCAACAATTTTAGCGTGGGTTTGATACAGTTAGGACACAAGGTGAACATTAAGCACCTCTTTGGAATGTTTTCAGGAAAATTGAATTGAACTTTTTTATTGATCATGTGTTAACATCAACATGAAAGTTGCTTTTTACAATGTAATTATAGTTTACAGCTGTAAAACATAATCTTTGTGTTTTGTTTCAGTTGTTACCAGATTTAACATACACAGACAAAATGACGATTCTGTGTGTCTTTAATGGGTACTATATGGTTCCGCACACCCAGTGGAGCATTGGAAAATTTATTCAAAGAAAGAAAGCCTTGCAGGTGTAAACTGAGTTGTTGTTGTTTTTTTTGGTGAGGAATGGCAATTGTTGCTTATTAATTATTGTTTCTTAACACTGTTTTGTGTTAAAGAAAGGTCACTTAGGTTTATACTTTACATTTGTTACTGTTCAGTTCGTGATGACTATAGGCAAACATGACCTTCCAGAAATAACAGAAAATGAGTGTGAGGACTCAATCTTCCATTAGCAGTCACACTGTTTGTCTGTTATACAGTTTATAGTAGGAAATAGCCCTACCACTACCAAGTAAAAGTAGCTCTGTTAACCTGCCAAGTATGTTCAGTTGTTTTCTTAACTCATCACTAGTCAATCAAGAAATTAATTTTATATACTATTAGTTACAGTTAAAATGTTATACTTATAAAATGCTTTGTGGAGAGTCATTAATCAAGGTTTTCTGATTTAGTATCATCATTCTTGGGAATAGAAAGAATTTCATAATCAAATGAAAATTATGTTGATGGCATTGGTACATTTATGAATAAAATATAATAATAATGATGAAGATAACACATTATAAAGTTGATATTTTGTTGTTGGGAATTTAATACTAATATTGTAGATTGAAGAAATATAGTCTCATAGGTGATATATCTCAGTAGCTATGCCTTATTATTGTTGTTGTTGTGATCATCACTACTATTATTGTGTTCTATTTTGATTTTTCACCACTTCCTTCATCCACCAATATTGCACCAAAATTATGAAACAAGTAAGAAGAACACAAGAAGGACAACAACTCTGGGAGGCTGAGAAAGCTAAAGAAGCACAAGCCAAATCTGCACACCTCTCTTCAACTCTTCCCAACTCTTATAGGTTGAAAAAAAAGCGTGTCAAAACAATTAAAAACTCCAACGTTAAGAACCAAGCCACATTTCATTTTACATGCCGGTGGAATAATTTGAGGGATTTCCCCAGGCTGCTATGAGCATAACCCCTGGCAACCTTTTTTCATAGGAAACTGAAGGAAAATGCAATGTACAACCAAAGGAAATTCCCAGCTGTTCAAATTGCATACCGTAAAATTCCGCAAATAAGCACCTCCATGTATAATTCCCTCCAAATATAAACCCCCCAACTGGTAACGCAAAAAAACCCTCTGTTAAATCGCCCCTCCAAACATAAGCCCTCAACTACAAAGTAAAACAAAGAAAAAACGGTAAATTTACTTCCAATTATAAGGCCAGCCCACTCGATTTTGAAATGCAAATTTCCCTTCGTAGATGAGCCCCTTCGAATATAAGCCCCCCAAAAAGAGCCTTTGAAAAATATAAGCCCCAGGGCTTATTTTCGGCATTTTACAGTATTCCCTGGCGACATGAGACAATAATTACAGCCTTGAGAATATGTAGGAACGTTGGATTTTGTCATTGAAGAACCATTACAATCTACCAAGAAACAATAACTAATTCTTCAAAAATGAATCCCTTTTTAGAAAATTGTAAAATTGTGTGATTACCTACCAATCATTTGTTGACATTCATTAGCCCTTGCTGAACCCTACTATGTAGTGCAAAGCAAATGGTGCCAATGCAAGGAGGCCCTGCCCTTATTAAAATCTCCCTGCTGCAAATAATGTATTACTTGTTCTGTTACATGAACTGACTGAGCCACAAAGTAATAATCTATCCCCTGCAAACAAAACAAAGATCCACAACCATAACATTGATTAACCCTGTTTATTTCAAACTAAAACACTCTAATAATAATAATATCATTACAACAAACAGTATTTTAAATGACTGAGAGGTTAACATACTTCTGGTTAATAATGTGAGTAAAATATACCACTATAATGTTATGAATAAACAGCAGCTAGACCAAATGGCTTGTACAATAAAACACATGTCTGTAGTCCCAACAGACAGTGCTGGTCATATTAGTTCAAAGCGAGTAACAAATTTTGCTTCTTTTTTTTTGACTTATTTTTTTTGTTGCAAGTTGTTGTTTTGTTTTTTTTTTTTTTTTTTGAGTAATTTCCATCACAGTTAAATATTAATGGAAACCTTATTCGTTTTTAAATTTTTGCTCTTTTTTTTCTTTCACTCATTGTTGCTATTTTACAAAGGAAATGTTGCTCCACTTAATTTTTCAACGAGAACTTTCCTCAATGCAGTTGTGAGAAGCTCAAGTTCTTGTAACTGCTTCCTCAGTTCAGCATTGCTTTTCTCTAATTCCTCTTCCTGCTTAAACAATTCCTGTTCTTTCTGCTTTCTGGCAGCACGAGCATATTTAGAAGCAACATTGTTCTTAAGTCGCCTGATAGTTTTTTTGTCAAGTTCACTACCATCACCATCATTACACTTAGGTTTTTTGGGTGGAGGATGGGATCTTTCCTCAGAAGATGCTCTCTTTTTGTTTGCCCGAGTCGCAGGGTTAACAGAAACCTCTGGTGATCCTGTTGTGCTTTCAGTACCATCGTCTGTGCAAGGTGATGCAACATCAGCAAGTTCAACAGTAGAAGAAAATGCCAGCAGTTGATCAAGGTCGACTGTCAGAGTTGACGGGGGAAGCTCACTGATTTCTTTCAAGGAGGATGTTTCTGTCAGCTCTTGTGTCAAAAGTGTCAACGGGTCTGATGCTTCAACTACTGTGATCTCAGCTTTATCAGACACAGGTTGAGATGATGCCTCAATTTGGTGGCAGTCAATAAGATCTGTGACTGTCTCCATGGAGACACTACCCTCGTCCACAGTCACTACATCTACTGTGTACTCAGAGGAGAGGGCAATGTCAATGATGCTTTCATCCAGCGGACATATTGGTACCTCAGCACTACTTTCAAATGTTACCACATCAATGATGTCACTACAGGGGGAAGCTGCTTCAGGACACTCGCCAGTATCTACGGTCACTACATCTGATTGGCAGATGTCTGAAGTGAGAACTGGCGAGGCCTGCTCCACTTCAAACCCAAAATCAACAGATGAGAGTTCTGGAAATAGCTGGTCAAGATCCATAAATTCTTCAAAGAATGGATTGTCCATTGAACTTGTTGACTTTTCCAAATCCAGAATACTTTCTAATGGATCTGTAGTTACTGGCAAGGTGGTGTTCAGCTCATCAAGAAAGCCAAGTGGAAACTTGGTTTCATCAGGACCTTCCTGGTCTAAGATATCGGTGTCTTCTAATGGGTTATTCAGCAATTCTGTAAATAAACAACAGATTATCAGAAAGCTGTTAAGACAAGCTTTCGGTTGTGAAAAAATTACAAGGGTGATGCAGAGATACATGAAAAATGTTGTATAATTATTTGTTCCCACAATTCTAACTGTTATCTTTGAAAAAAAAGTAAATATTAACCAGAACAGAGACAGAAAGAAATTGATAAAGGAGCACTGATTAATACAATTGTAAATAATTATCTGCATTATTGTTATGTGTGCACGGCCAAGAAGGGTTTCGTATCGGTAGAAAAGACTTTTAAATACTTCAAAGTGTTCACAGTTAAACGAGTACGGCGTACTCAAGTACTTAGAGTTAGACTTTCGAGGTAATTATGTACAGAAAAATGATGCGCTAAACGGGTTTACGGACGTTTTCACGTTAGCGAATGGGACGTTGGCGAAACGACCGGTCAACGCTACAAGCATTTAAATGCATGATTCGAATAATCAGGGGGTTGTAAATATCGGGGTAGAATTAAACTGAGAAAGGGAACAAGTTAGGTTACGTTCGAATTATCGTGATGCTGCATAGACAAATCGTGATTCTACTAATTCTAGAACGAGACTTACCAAGGTCATCAAACAGTCCACTTGTATCCACTGTTGCGGTTCCGTTTCCAGTGCTTTTGATCAT